GCCCCGTTCTTCTCGTACAAGTGAACTGATATTTAATCTTGAGATCGAGAAGATTGAGCGAAAGCTACGAAAGGAAGCCAAGCAACGAAAAGCTGCTCAGGTTGCGAAGCTGGCAGAATCTTTAAAGCACCTCAAAATCTCTAGCTCTAGCGACTCTGAAAGTGATCAAGAGACTGTCATGGCTGAGGATACCGGCACTTTAAAGGAGTTGGCTGCTCCCGACTTGGCGCAGCAGCCCTTATGCATTAACTTTCCAACACTCAATAACACTGTTGCTTTTGAACTGAAATCTGGATTAATTCATTTATTGCCTTCTTTTCATGGACTTGCAGGTGAAGAACCTCACAAACACTTGCAAGAGTTCGACATGGTGTGCTCCAGCATGAAACCACCAGGTGTTACTGATGAACAGATCAAACTCAGAGCCTTCCCATTCTCGCTCAAAGATGCTGCAAAGGATTGGCTCTACTATCTCCCACCTGGAAGCATCGACACATGGAACGACATGAAAAAGAAATTTTTGGAGAAGTACTTTCCAGCTTCCAGAGCTGCGATCCTGAGGAAGGAGATATGTGGCATCAAGCAACAATCAGGTGAAACGCTCCATTAATATTGGGAGTGATTCAATAAGCTTATCATTAAATGTCCACAACATCAAATTCCCCCTCAGTTATTGATTCAATACTTTTATGATGGTTTGTCGTTGATGGATAGGAACATTATCGATGCTGCAAGTGGTGGAGCTTTAGTAAATAAGATGCCGGCACAAGCTTGGGATCTTATTGCGAGGATGGCTGAAAATACGCAGCAATTTGGTTCAAGAGATGTTGGACATATGAGCGGAAACAACGACCATACCATCCAATCAATACAACAACAACTTTCTGAGTTGACGAGCTTTGTTCGCAAGATGGTCGTGGAAAAATCCAACCCGAGTGTCCAGGTCAAGGTATGTAGAATATGCACGAGTACAAGACACCCTACAGATGCATGTCCGAACCTCCAAGAAGAATGTGCAGTGGATGTGAATGCTGCAAACTACGGTATGAATAGACCTCCAGCGTACAATCCATACTCCAACACCTACAATCCAGGCTGGAGAGATCATCCAAACCTGCGCTATGGAAACGCACACCAGAATCATGGTCCTCAACCATTTGGAGCCACACATCAGATGCAACAGCCTCGCCCTTACGAGAAACAGCTCCCTCAAGCACCCACAAGCAACTCCAGTCCGTCCTTGGAAGACTTGGTGAAGTCTATGGCTACCAATACCCTGCAATTCCAGCAAGAGATGAAGTCAACTGTCGACAAGCTACAAAGTCAGATTAGCCAAGTTTCAGAAGAGGTAAAACAACTACGAGAAAGAGGAAAGTGGCCTGCGCAACCAGAGCAAAACCTGAAGAACATCAGTGCCATAACTCTTCGCAGCAGAAAGGAATTGGAAGGTCCACCTCCTATCTCGAAGGGACAGAATGAAAATCAGATTGAGATGGAGATTGAAAAAGAGGCCAAACTTCACGAAAAGGTACCTTCTAACTCTGTTCCTGCTACTGAAGCTAAATCAGCTCCTTTTCCTGATAGGTTGAAAAGACCACAAAAGGCAACAAACGAAAAGAGATGATGGAAATCTTCAAAAAGGTAGAACTTAATATCCCGCTCCTGGAAGCTATCAACCAAATCCCCAAGTACGCGAAGTTTTTGAAAGAACTGTGCACTAACAAAAGGAAATTACGAGGGGACGAGCACATTATAGCGGGTGAGAACGTTTCTGCTGTTCTCAAAAGAAAGGTACCACCCAAAACAGGTGATCCGGGTATGTTTTCTATCCCTTGTAGGATTGGAAAAACTGAGATAACTAAGGCTATGCTAGATTTAGGAGCTGCTATTAATGTCATGCCACGATTAATATACGACTCTTTAAATCTAGGGCCTTTAAAAGAAACAGGAATTATTATTCAACTTGCTGATCGAACTAATGCTTATCCTGATGGTATGATAGAAGATGTGCTTGTTCAAGTGAATGACTTAATTTTTCCTGTTGATTTTTATATTCTGGATATGCATGATGCACACTGCTTTAATCCAACGCCTCTTTTGTTAGGAAGACCTTTTATGTGCACTACAGGAGCAAAAATTGATGTACGGAATGGCACTCTCGCTTTGGAATTTGATGGAGAAGAAGCCCATTTCAATATTTTTGATGCTGTGAAACATTCTGTTGATTCTGAAACATTATATGCAATTGATATCATTGATCCCTTGGTGCAGGACGCATTCGGATTAAGTGGTTCCGACGAATTGAAGATCGTGTTAATGGAACATCTGGAGAAAGAACATGGGAGAGAGATAGCCGTAGACAAGAGAATAAGAAAAGTTCTCAAGGAGCTTAACTCAACTCCGAGAGTGTCACCAAGGTATGAATTAGCTCCAATATTCTTACATGAGTCTAAGCAATGTTTATTACCATCTTTGATGCAGGCACCTGAATTGGAATTGAAACCTTTACCTGAAACTCTAAAGTACGCTTATTTGGGAGAGAAGAAGACTCTACCGGTGATCATCTCTACAAAATTGACATCAGAACAAGAAGAGAAATTGATTAAGGTTCTAAAAGATCACAAGACCGCCATTGGATGGACGATCGCTGACATAAATGGTATTGATCCCTCGTTCTGTACTCATAGGATAACACTCGAGGAGGATTCAAAACCAGTGAGACAAGCTCAAAGGAAGTTGAAACCCGATTATGACTGAGGTATTCAAGAAAGAAGTGTTAAAGCTTCTCAAAGCTGGTATCATCTACCCTATCTCCGATAGTAGGTGGGTGAGTCCGGTTAAAGTGGTTCCTAAGAAAGCTGGAGTAACGGTGGAAGAGACTCAAGAAAGAGAAAATCTCCATGTTCGAAAACAAACTGGATGGCGCCATTGCATAGATTACCATAAGCTGAATGCGGTAACAAAAAAGGATAATTTTCCTCTCCCTTATATTGATCAAATGAGAACGACTCGCTGGTCGCGCATATTACTACTTTTTAGATGGATTTTCAGGTTATTTTCAGATAGCGATAGCACCCGAGGATCAGGAGAAAACATCATTCACTTGTCCGTTTGGAGTTTTCACCTACAGAAGGATGCCTTTTGGTTTGTGTAGCGCTCCTGCTACATTCCAAAGATGTATGGTAAGTATTTTCTCTGAGTATATTGAGCGAATCATTGAAGTTTTTATGGATGACTTTAGTGTATATGGCTCTAGTTTTGATGATTGTCTAGGTAATTTGACTTTAATCTTGAAACGATGCATCAAAACTAACCTTGTGCTCAATTGGGAGAAACGTCAACTGATGGTTCATCAAGGAATTGTTTTAGGCCATAAGGTGTCACATGATGGTATAGAAGTAGATAAATCTAAAGTTGTGCTAATCACTGCTTTACCTTACCCTACTTTTGTGTGAGAGCTACGTGGTTTTTTAGGACATGCAGGTTTCTACCGACGCTTCATCAAGGACTTCTCCAAGATTGGAGCATCATTGTTTCACCTCCTGCAGAAAGATGTAGCATGTGAGTTCAATGACGATTGCAAGAAGGCATTTCGAGCACTGAAGAAGCGCCTCACAACACCACCGATTATTCAACCTCCGAATTGGGACTTGCCATTCGAGTTGATGTGTGATGCAAGCGATACTGCAGTGGGAGCCATTCTAGGGTAACGAGTTGGGAGAGCTTCTCATGTCATCTACTATGCTTTGCAAGCACTGAATGACGCTCAATTAAATTACTCCACCACGGAGAAAGAGATGCTTGCTATTGTTTTTGCTCTTGATAAATTTAGATCTTATCTTTTAGGCACTATAGTGTTTGTGTACTCTGACCATGCAGCTCTGCGTTACTTGATGGCAAAGAAGGAAGCCAAAACTCAATTAATTCGATGGGTGCTCCTTCTGCAAGAGTTCGACGTAGAGATTCGAGACAAGAAAGGAACTGAAAATTTGGTAGCTGACCACTTGAGTCGCATACCCATGGAGTCAGATGCAGTTCCTGTTCGAGAGTTGTTTCCTGACGAACAGCTTCTCTCTATTGTGACTACACACCCTTGGTATGTTGATATTGTTAATTACTTAGTCACTAACGAGTTTCCTGCAGGTTGGGCGAAGGCGAAAAGGGATAAGCTCCGCAGCGATGCAAAATACTACATTTCGGATGACCCCTACCTTTGGAAGCGATGCTCTGATCAAATCATTCGAAGGTGCGTTAATGAAAGTGAATTTCATTCTGTTTTGACCTTTTGTCACTCTATGGCATGTGGTGGATACTTTGGATCCAAGAAGACAGCTAGAAAGGTGTTGGACAGTGGACTTTACTGGTCTACTCTCTTCAAGGACGCATTTGAGTTTTGTAAGTCTTGTGATAGATGTCAACGAACATGTAATCTCTTTTCCCGTAATCAAATGCCTCAATCACCTACGATTTTTGTCGAAATATTTGATGTGTAGGGTATAGATTTTATGGGACCTTTTCCTAATTCATATGGATGCTTATATATTATCTTGGCTGTTGATTATGTCTCAAAATGGGTGAAAGCAAGAGCCACCCGAACTAATGATTCTAAGTTGACTGCAAAAATCATTAAGTCATATATCTTCTCTCGATTCGGAGTGCCAAAGGCAATTGTGAGTGACAGAGGGACTCACTTTTGCAACAAAACCATGGCTGCACTTTTTCAAAAATATGGCGTGCTTCACAAGGTGTCAACCTCGTATCATCCTCAAACGAATGGACAAGCTGAAATCTCCTACCGCGAAGTTAAGTCTATCTTGGAGAAAACAGTTCAACCGAACAGAAAAGATTGGAGCTCGAGACTCGATGATGCTTTGTGGGCATATCGAACAACATACAAGACACCAATAGGGATGTCACAATTTTGATTGGTGTATGGAAAGCCTTGCCATTTACCTGTGGAAATTCAACACAAGGCATTTTGGGCAGTGAAAAAGTGCAATATGAATCTTCAAGAAGCCGGAGCCCATCGAAAAATGCAAATTCAAGAGCTTGAGGAGATTCGACAAGAGGCATACGAGAATGCGATACTCTACAAGGAAAAGACAAAAGCCTTTCATGATAATCACATCTCCAGAAAATTTTTGAGATTGGACAGAAAGTCTTATCACTCTCGTCTTAAGCTTTTCCCTGGAAAGCTGCGCTCTAGGTGGATAGGGCCCTTTATCGTTACTAAACTTTTTCCTTATGGTGCAGTGGAGATTCAGAGCTTAAGGACGGAGAAAAATTTTGTGGTCAATGGACATCGTCTTAAGTCATATTACGAGGGATTCCCAATTGAATCTATAGAGTTGGTGTCTCTCGCTGATGTCGAAGTTGAGGACTGAGACGCGACGAAGTCTAGCTCAAAGACTATAAAGAAAAGCGTTGTTTGGGAGACAACCCAAATCATTTAATTGCTTTCTTTAATTTTATTTATTTTTATTATTTAATTGCTAATAATACTTTTGATAATTTTTTTTGGTTTTGTGCAGGTCTTTTGAAAAATAATTACTAGCTCTTGGCAAAGACGCATCAATTTTCTTAAACCTTAAAAAAAAAAATTTAAAACCCTTTCTCTCTCTCTCTTCTCCCCTCCTCGCACTGTCACCTTCATCCGCCATTCTTCTTCTTCTTCTTCTTCTTCTTCTTCATCTTCTCCCTTTCCCCCCTCTCTCTCCCTTCTTCGCCCTTTCTTCTTCGCCAGTCCGCAAGACGATCTTCCCTCCGCCGGATGCCGCCAATTCCTCCCTCCGCCGCGACATCGCTGCGCCAGACGCAGCCTCCCCTTCGCCGGTCCCTTCTGCCAGCCCTCCGATCCAGACGCCGGCGATTCTCTTCGCCGGCTAGGCGACGACAGCCACGATCTCCGGCGCGACTCCCCCCCAGTCCAGACCAGTTGCCGTCTCGCCTCCGCCGTGATCTTCCTCTTCTCTCATTCACGCTGAACAGCCGCCCCTGCCCCAGCCAACGCCCGCCTCTTCTCTCCTTCACCGCCGGCCATGTTTGAGTTCTGTAAGTAATCGTGGATGGGTAATATCTATTCATCGCTTTGTTCTAATTCTTTCAATTTTTAGAGATGGATTTATTGAGGCTATGCAATTGTTAATCTAGAATTGAGATTGAAATCACTGTTAGGTGTTTTATAATGTTTATATGCGATGATCATGGATTATTTGGCTTGAGTTAATAAGGTTGATTGATTGCTTACATTGATGTGTTACTTATTTATATTCTGGAATTGGTATCAAGATTGATTTTTGGACAGTTATGCATTGCTTTGATTATAGCTAACGCGTAGGATATTTTGTTTCAATTTGGCGTGGTTTGGCATCGCGAGTTAGCATGATTGAAAATTAAATTCTCGAGTTGAATCTTGGTGCTGTATGTGCTCTCTGACTTTATTCTATATTGCTTCTTTTGTGTCTAAATTGAGAAAAGCATTTGACTAGTCCATCACTATCATTCTTTTTCTTTGGATAGTTGCTTTGGATAGTTTGAATTGGTTGTGAATTGCCATGCATTTGACTAGTTTAGTTGGATTATGAATCACCCACTTTTTGGAGTAGCTTGCGTTGGTTAGTTGTCTTCGCAGGACTCAGAAGAACTTCAAGCCTCCCTAAAAATCACGATCAAATGAAAAGGTGTTAACAAAGCTCCCGACTACTACACCCCCCTATGGACTCCAGGGAAGTTCCTCTATTCTTTTATTGCTTTCTTTACATTGAGGGCAATGCATACTTTAGGTGTGGGGAGAGTTATGCAAATTTTTGGGCAAAATTTTCATTTTTGTGCTATTTTTATGCCTGATTTGCTGTCTTTTCGCATGTTTTTGAGATTAGTCTGAAGTGAGTCAAAGGTGATTTGTGTGATAGGTTAGTTTGGCATGACTAATGAAATTTGATTAGTGATATGTTGAGTCAATTCGACGTTTGAACCCTGTGAGAATTTGAGCCTATGTTCCAAAAGTCACATTAGAAAATAAATTGCATATATTCAAGCTTTTGAAAATTTCTTTCATGTGTGATTTGTAGTGCTCAATTAGATGACCTAGAACTTGAGTGATTATACATGTTGAACTTGCAACTATCGAGTCTTGCGTTTTGAAAATGATAAGGGCATTAGGTAACCCATTAAGCCTTTCTTTATTACCCAGCACAATATATTCCCCTAGTTAGCCCATTTGAGCCTTCTTAGCTTATTTTTTTCTTTTATAATAAACTATTTTTTTAGCCTCATACCCTTCTTTCGATTGAGCCTTCTCCGATTTGAACCCTATGTTAGAAAGAATTACTTTAAGTCCATGTTGTGATGCACTTTATTTCCTCGGCACTAGTGAGAAATGAAATTTGGGTACGAATAAGTAATAGTATGAAGGAATAATTATGGGAAGTAAAAGTATATATATATAAAGACAAAAGAAAAAAATATCAAAAATCAAAAATAAAAAAAACAAAAAACAAAACAAGAAATAAAAAAAAACGAAAAAAATATACAAAAAAATAATACAAAAATAAATAAATAAATAATTATCTTAATAAAGTATTTTCATTTAATTTCATTATTAAAGTTTGGGTAGTGAAAGAGTAAGGATTTCATTGTTTATGCCAATTTGTTTTTCATATGCTAGCATCGTATTCTTATTGTATTCTTTTCTGACATTTTTAGCCGTTGTTTATCCTTGCTTTCCTACCCATGACCATAAGCCCCTCTACAACCCTTATTGAAAGTTCCTTTGATTCTTCATGCTAGATTCAAATATTTAAGTAAGGGAGATTTGATTTTTACTCAAGCCTATAGGATAATCTTTTGTTGCACCACCTGAGTGTTGAGCAAATTATACACTTAATTGCTTCAGAGAGCATGTGCTAATACACTTTATCTTGTGAGGTTGACTTGGCTTGATGTGTTAAAATTCGGATTGAATTGGTTGTGTTGGATCCTCTTGTCATATCGAATTGCCTGCGATTTCTTTGGCTTATTTCGAATTTATGCTTGAGGGCAAGCATGATCTAGGAGTGGGGAGAATTGATAGTTAGAAATCGCATGCGTTTTATATTCATATCATATGCGATATTTGGGTGATTTTGATTGGATTCTACCTAATTTATATGCGAATTGTTTATTTGCTGTGTGCAGATGACAAATATTAAATTTTGCATAATTGGCAGAAAAAGGAAATAAAATTAATTAAAGGCTCAAAAGCCCATCTACAAAATAATTATGGCAAAAATCAAATAAGAAGGAAAAAAAAATATGCCTATTTGGCAGGAGAGAACGGCTAGGGCAGAAACACACAGGAAGAAGAGACTGACAGATTCATAGATCGCGCAGGAGCAAATCGATAGAGAAGATTTTCCCCTCCCACTATGACTTTATCTTTCTCTTTTGTTCTTTGTTATTTGATTATGGAGTAGATACTTTTCTGGTTTGAGGGGTGATAATGTTTTGGTTCTTTTGTTTTGGAGATTCTTGATTTTCTTTATAAAAATTCTTTTTTATTATCAATATTTGTCTAATTCTAAGAATAGTGTTTGTGATTGTTAGATTGATTGAATATTTTGGTACCGATATTTAAATTAGTCTGATAATCTAAAGTCAATTCAGGTAGCATATCTGTAATTGTATTCACAGTTGAATAGGTGACAACCGGGTTGAATAGTTCCTTCCCGGGGGGTTAGACAATCAAATCTAATTGCTTCTCTTAAGTAGTAATTATTTTGTATTGGGTTTTTCTAGATTGGAATGCGGTTAGGAAATATTCTTATGGGCGCAATTAGGTTTATTTGTTTAATTAGAGGTAGTTAACGGTCGTACCTTAATTACCTACACTGTAAGAAAAAATTGGTTGTCAGAGCTTGTTGATAACTATAACCAATTTATTGATACTTTAATAAGAATTAATTTTATTGAATTAATGATAAAACACAAGTGCCATAACTGCATCATCCCTTGAGTCAGGCATCCCCTTGATAGTAAGTTCCCCTTTAATTTAATTGCTTTGTTATTTTATTTTCATTAGATAATAAAAGAAAAATCTCCCTTTATTTACTGCATTAGAATACGCAAGAGTGAATCACACAATCCCTGTAGAGACGATCCCTTCCCCTGTATTACATTAAATTGTGATCACGGATTAGGTGAAATATTTGATTGACTGCGTGACAAGTCAAATATCTACTCCTAAATGAACTAAGGGTTTTACAACAACTTGAATTAATCCAAAATGAATATATTTATAACCTTTATTAATATATTTTTGTAAAGAAATTGTTGATAACAAATGGATTGTTTGATATTCTTCTTGAATATAATGGTTTCTTCAAGAGCCTATAGAATAAGTAGTTTCTATATTTTGTTGAGGAATTGTCCAATTTGAGTAATTAATTGGGATATGGATTTCTCTGCACTACCAAAAAAATTGACTTTTTGTAGCGAGTATGTTGCCCGTCAAAATAAGTCCACTACATAAAGTGGCTTTTGTTACGAAATTTATCGGAATAAAAAGTTTAATGGTTGGTCAACCTTTTTTTGTATGTATTTCGACAATTTATCTGTAACGAATACATTTTTGACGGGACATCGTCCTATATAGATTTGTTACGCAATTCAAACCGTAACAAATACGTAAATGTTGAAATTTTATATATATATAATCTATATAGAATTACTTTAAAATTTTAAAAAAATTATTTATTTCGGTAATTTATTCGTAACAATTACACATTTTGGACGAGATGTTATCATATGTATAATTGTTATACATTTCAAGCGGTAACAAATAAGTTAATATTAAAATTTTCTATTTACATAAAAAAAAATCAATATAAAACTATTTTAAATTTAAAAAATATATATTTATTTCGATAATATATGGTAAGTTAAAAAATCAATATAAAACTATTTTACGTATTATGTTTTAATTTGGAGGTCGACTATTACTTAGTTGTTATGATGGTCTAGGATATAGTCATAGTTGGGGATGTTTTAAAGTATTATTGATGGTTATATTTATACTTTTTGTATGTCTAATATCATCGTTGGATTGATGTCATTTTGTGGAATTTGTTAAGGATTTTGGATTATTTATGGTAAAAGTATTTTTTTATTATTTGTCTCACATCTGGGTCCGTAACAAATAAGAAGTCAAGTATGGCAATAAAAACTTTATTTGACGTAGATACGCGTTTTGTATTATATTTTTTGTTACGGACATTTTTCGGAATAAAAGAAGTTTCATGGTGAGTACCATATACTTTGTTACAGACATATTTCGTAACAAAAGATCTCTAAATGGGATCTGCTTTTTGTTCCGCAATTTTTGTTACGGACAAATTCTGTTATACAA